GAGAGCTTCGAGGACCCAGCGGGCACCATCGACAAGTTCCACTATGGCACCCACTATTCCAACGCAGCAGGCGTGATGCACTACCTCATCCGCGTGGAACCCTTCACCTCCCTGCACGTCCAGCTGCAGAGTGGCCGGTGCGGCCCCGGGCGGGGGGGCGGAAGGAGCTGGCAGATGGCAGGGCTGAGGGTGGGTTGCTGCAGATGAGGGGAAGAGGCAAGGTCCTCCGGGTGTCCCGGGCCCTTCGGCTCCCTTCCAGCCCCCTTCCAGCCCCCAGCTGCAGCTGTCCTTCCTCGTCCCCGTTCCCCGCCCCCCTCACTGCAGCCTGTGCCCCTCCCCCAGCTTTGACTGCTCCGACCGGCAGTTCCACTCCGTGGCGGCAGCCTGGCAGGCCCGCCTGGAGAGCCCTGCCGATGTGAAGGAGCTTATCCCGGAGTTCTTCTACTTCCCCGACTTTCTGGAGAACCAGAACGGTAGGAGCTGGAGTGGGGCTGGGGGGCCCCGGGGGCGGAGCGCACAGGCCGGGCCTGGCCAGGGACGTGGGTGAAGCTACAGCGAGACCGCTCACCCTGTCCTCCGGGCCAGGCTTCGACCTGGGCTGCCTCCAGCTGACCAACGAGAAGGTGGACGACGTGGTGCTGCCGCCGTGGGCCAGCTCCCCCGAGGACTTCATCCAGCAGCACCGCCAGGCTCTGGTGAGGGCTGAACACGGACAGGCAGACGGCCAGAGTTGAGGGGCAGGGTTGGGGGCGGCGGGGTGGGGGTGGGGGGGGCCAGCCGTCCCTGGACTGACTGGCACCTCCCCACCCCCAGGAGTCCGAGTATGTGTCTGCCCACCTGCACGAGTGGATTGACCTCATCTTTGGCTACAAGCAGCGGGGACCAGCCGCGGAGGAGGCGCTCAACGTCTTCTATTACTGCACCTATGAAGGTGGGCGGTGCCCTGGACTCCCGTGGGGGCCGGGCCACTGCGGAGGAGGGCAGAGAGCAGAGGGCACGGGGCAAGTCCTGACTGCCCTGCCTGCCTTGCCCAGGGGCCGTGGACCTGGACCACGTGGTGGACGAGCGGGAACGGAAGGCTCTGGAGGGCATTATCAGTAATTTTGGGCAGACCCCCTGTCAGCTGCTAAAGGTAAGACCAGCTCGGAGGATCACGGGTCAGGGATGCCCAGGCCGTGGTGCTGACCAGCCGCTTGTCCACAGGAGCCACATCCAGCTCGGCTCTCCGCCGAGGAAGCAGCCCAACGCCTCGCGCGTCTGGACACTAACTCACCTAGCATCTTCCAGCACCTGGACCAGCTAAAGGCCTTCTTTGCGGAGGTGAGCCGAGGCAGGGCTTCATCTTCCTGCACTATGAAATGGGTTTAACTTCACTGTCCTTACCAACCTCTTGGGGCAGACGGAAGACTTAAATCAAGGTCACTGATGTTAGACATCTTTGAAAAAGAGGTAACGGGAGCGGGGCTGGGGTACCTTCTTTGCCGAGGCCAGGACAAGTTGTTGACGCCCCCTAACCATCTCTGAAAACCTTAGGGAGACCCTAAGGAAGGAAGGCAGTGTAGCCTTGGATAATTTCCCTCATGTTCCTGTTCCCCTGAGAGGGTCCCCCAGGCCTGACCTTTTTAGTGACCCCTCCTTGTCCTGCCAGCAGGCGGGGGGGGACGTGAAGTCAGAGGGTGGGAGGACCAAGGTCAAGACCAAGCTTGAGACGGAGAGAGTGGCCTTGTCCATCCCAGCTTCTCACTCCCTCACTTTCGGGGATGCCCTCCTGAAGGCGCACTGAGCTCTCCTGACCAAGTCGCAGAGGGACCTCTGCCTCTGTGACCCCTAGTCTGTGAGCACTGGGGGCTGGGAGGAGAGGAAAGAACGGTGCCCCAGGTGGCAGGCAGGGGAGTGCGGTCCCCAGCTGAGCTCTGCTCTGCAGGTCATCAGTGATGGCGTGCCCCTGGTGCTGGCCCTGGTCCCCCACCGGCAGTCCCACTCCTTCACCATCCAGGGCACCTCAGACCTCTTGGTAAGTGCACCGCGCAGCGCCCGGCTCAGCTCCGCCCCTGCTCGGACTTCCGCCCCACACCCACCCCTGCCCCCTCTGGCCCACAGGTGACCGTGAGCGCCAGTGGGCTGTTGGGCATCCACAGCTGGCTGCCCTACGACCGGAACATAAACAACTACTTCAGCTTCAGCAAAGACGCCACCATGGGCAACCCCAAGTAGGACAGAGGGAGGTGGGCAGGGGTGGGCTCTAAATACCCTGCACCCCCGAGTTGTCGCCCCACCCAGTCAGGATGTGGGCCAGCAGCAGGGTCTGGCCAAGGCCTCTGAGGGCCTGGGTCTTCTGTGTTGGCCTGGCCTCACCTGTCCCCCCAACCCAACACCGGGTCAGGATGCAACGACTGCTGAGCGGCCCGTGGGTGCCGGACCGTGGCGTGAGTGGACAGGCCCTGGCAGTGGCCCCCGACGGAAAGCTGCTGTTCAGTGGTGGCCATTGGGATGGCAGCCTGCGAGTGACCGCACTACCGCGGGGCAAGCTGCTGAAACAGCTCAACCGCCACCTTGGTATGTGCAGCCTGGGAGCTGGGGTGGTGCGGGTCGGGGTAGCGGGCCAGGGAGGGGGTGACCGCTGCATTCCGCTTGCACCCTCCCCTCCCCGTGCAGATGTAGTGACTTGCCTGGCACTGGACACCTGTGGCATCTACCTCATCTCGGGCTCCCGGGACACCACGTGCATGGTGTGGCGGCTCCTGCAGGAGGTGTGCTGGGTGGGCAGCCCCATGGGGCCCCCATAGTCCACGCCTGCAGCCCATCCACCCCTTATTTCTGCCACTGTGAGCAAGGCTGGGGCTCCACCACCCTCCAGCGCTCTGGCCAGGGTAGTGAGGTGTCCCCAGTCCTGAGCCAGCCCTGACTACCCACAGGGTGGTCTCTCGGTGGGACTGGCATCAAAGCCTGTGCAGGTGCTATACGGGCATGAGGCTGCAGTGAGCTGTGTGGCCATCAGCACTGAACTCGACATGGCTGTATCTGGATCTGAGGTATGTGTGGGTGCCTGTGCCCAGGGGAGGCCAAGTTTGCTAGGCAATGCCCCTGGAGATTAGAGACCCGTGCCCAGAACCCTACGCTGCCTTCCTTCAGGATGGAACTGTGATCATCCACACCATACGCCGTGGCCAATTTGTGGCAGCACTACAGCCCCCAGGGGCCACGTTACCCGGACCTGTGTCCCATCTGGCCCTGGGGTCTGAGGGCCAGATTGTGGTACAGAGCTCAGCGTGGGAGCGTGTGGGGGCTCAGGTATGGAAAAGGGGTGCTCAGCCAAGAACAGGGTAGTTGGGATTCTGTCCTTGCTGACACCTCTTGCTTCTCCCAGGTCACCTACTCTTTGCACCTGTACTCCGTGAATGGGAAGTTACGGGCTTCACTGCCCCTGGTAGAGCAGCCCACAGCCCTGGCGGTGACGGAGGACTTTGTTCTGCTGGGCACCGCCCAGTGTGCCCTGCACATCCTCCACCTGAACAAGTGAGTTCTGCTCTTCATGAGTTCATGGACCTGCAGGGTGATAGTCATTGGCAGAGGATACTAAAAGGTGCTAGCCTCCCAGCACCCCCTCCGTCTCCTCCCCCCACAACGGTGGGCCTACCCATAGCCCCTTTACATGTCCATGGGCACATTCTTCAAGGCCTGTCTTCTGTGTCTCCACCCCCCCCCCCCCCCCCCAGGGGTTGATCTTGCCCTGGGCCTCCCTTAGCTACACACTTGTGGAAGGTCCCTTTATGTATTAGGGTTTCAGTTGAGCCATCCCTTCAAATGCGACAGAGAGGGTAGGGTACACGGGAGAATGAAGACACAAAGCTCCCTTGCAGCTGAGAGTTCAGGTATATCCCTCCCTCCCTGCAGACTGCTTCCGGCTGCGCCTCCCCTACCCATGAAAGTGCCCATCCGCAGCGTGGCTGTGACCAAGGAGCGCAGCCACGTGCTCGTGGGCCTGGAGGACGGCAAGCTTATCGTGGTGGGCGCGGGGCAGCCCTCTGAGGTGAGGATAAGGGCAGGGCGGGCCTCGATCAGGGCGGGGAGCGACGGTCCTGGCCCACCTCTCCCCAATCCTACTTCTCCCCCCACCTCCCCCCGGCCCCAGGCGCGCAGCAGCCAGTTCGCGCGGAAGCTGTGGCGGCCCTCCAGGCGCATCTCACAGGTGTCCTCGGGGGAGACAGAGTACAACCCTGGAGAGGCGCGCTGACAGCCGCCCCGCCCCACCGCGCAGGCTCCTCCCCCAGCGGCCTCCGCCCTTGGAGGCCCCGCCCAGGAGTCGGCGGGAATCCGGAGGAGGAGACCACGCCGCGGCAGTCGGCCCGGCTCCGGGGGTGGGCGGGACCCCACCCCCGCCCAGCTCAGGGATTGGTGGGCGGTTCACTCCAGGAAGTCCTGCCCCTCGCCGGCAGAGGGGCCGCCCGGAGTCTGGCACTGGCCTTAGCGGCCGCACAGCACTTTTTGCACAGTGTGGGACAGGAGGGAGCTCAGGCTCCCAAACCCCGCGTCCCGTCGGAGCACGGGGGCCGGGCTGTGGCCTTAATCTCTAAAGGCGGCCCCCCGCTCTACCACTCTCGGCAATAAACCTGGCCTAGTTTTGTGTCCGCTTCGCCTCCGAGTATGCGTGCGCGCGGCGTCGCCGCCTGCCCAGGCCACCGTCCTGGGCTCGCGTTCCCCTGGCCCAGGAGCCCTCCAGGGCGTCTCGCCCCCTCCGCGTGGCCTGTTTTCCCAGCCGCGCCGCCCCTGTCCCCGGGGACCCCGCCTGCCGCTCCTACCCGGCGGGTGGTTCTCCCGGCCTCAGCGCGCCCTCGCGACACCTCCGCACGTGTGCGCGTCCCTGCGCGGGGCGGGGCCGCCGACGACCGCGCCCCCGCGCGCCCCCGCGCTCCGGCCTAGGCCGCTCCTCCGTGGGCGCTCTGGCTGACTCCCGGGACCGCCCGTCCCGCCCAGCCCCGCGCCTCGCCGGAGTTGGCCTCCCCAGGGACTGCACGCAGCCTTCCCGGCTGGCCCGCGGGTACCTGGCTGCACAGAGGCCCGAGTCCCGCCAGCCAGGACTGGATCCTGGGAGCCGCGGAGGGGCGGCCGCCGCAGGTCAGAAGGGGGTTGGGGACAGAGCTCCGGGTCTTCCTGGACTGAGAGAGCCGAGGGCTGCTTTTCTGTCGCCCACCTCGAGGCCCGTGATCCTGCGGGTGTCGGCCGTCGTGGTGCCGGCGTCCGTATTGGCATGCATGGGCGTGTTTTGTGGGGGGGGCGGGAGTGGGGGATGCGGGGGGTAGAGGCTCCAGCCCCGCAGTAGCTCTGGGGTGGGTCGGGCAGACACAGGCCTGGCGTGGCTAGGCGCGCTGGTCACAGGCCCACCTGCCAACCAGGATCCGGGAAGGGCCCCTTATATGGTAAGTGACACAAATGTACAAGGGCCACTGCAGTCTCTGTCCCAGACCCAGTTGCTGACTGGGCAGGGAAGTGAGTTTGGAGACCAGGCCGGATGTGGTGGTGGATGTTGGAGAGTTGGAGGGCCTGCCCCCAACTTTCCGCGCCTTTTCCCGGCAAGATCCATTCGCAGCCAAGATGAGGCTTCTCTTACCCAGGCCTTAGGAAGTGGGTCCCAGCAGGATCAACCCTGTAGGTCCAGATGGGTCCTGGGACTAAGTAGTCCTGTCCTTTAGGTTTCTGGCCTCCAGGCCATCTGAATTCCCAGGTGAGAAAGGACCAGGGGGCCTCTGGGCCCATATACTCTTCTGCCCTTGCCGAACCCACCACAGAACTCTCCTGTCCAGTTTCTGGGCAGGAGGTGAGGGCTGGACACTGACCCTGGAGGCAGGAGTGGGACTATAGTCACAGGAAGCCTTGCTTTCGGGGCTTAGGGTGTTGGGTTCCCCGGGCTCATGCAGAGAAGTCTGGGGGAGCTCCCCCCACCCAGCAAGTCTCCGGCCTGGCTCTGACTGAGGTGGGGTTGGGAGTCTCTGTGGTGCTCCCTTGCCATCCCTGGACTCAGGCCAGGGGTTGCTAAGGTTTCCAGCCTGCTCCCCTCCATCCTGACCTGCACTCTGGCTCCTCCAGCTTTGGCCTGTGGGGACTAGCTCTGTCAAACCCACCCCATCTAACACAGGAGGAAACTGGTCCAGGTTGGTGAGTGGGGAAGTTGCAGGGGGGTAACCAGCCCTGGAGTGAATCAGGATGGAGCCAGGAGAGGGGGACAGAATATACCAAGGGACTCCCGACATCTGGCCTGAAGAAAATCCCCCATCTTGCTACATGTAGCGGAGAAGTTTCCCAGCTCCCTGGCCTGAGTGTTGCCATGACACTCCAACCCCTTCTCCAAGAGATGCAGTCTCTGGGAGCACTGCTAGCCGGCAGAGCCATGCTTCACAACTCCAGCCACAGGGAAGGCATGGTCCATGTGGGTAAGTGCCTTTGGATCCAGATTTGGGGCACTGGGTAGGTGGGTAGGTCACACAGCTCTGGAGTTCCCCGTTCCCTCGGCCCTGCGCTGGATTGTGGAGTTAACTGGCCTCCAGGCAGAAGCGAGCAGCAGTGTTCACTTGCCTTCTAGCTCAGCTTTATTTTGCAAAACTTTACAAGGTCTCGTGTGCAGAGGCCCCTGTGGGGTTCCAGACGTGGTGGGAGAGACAGGACACACAGGGTAATGCCCCGGTAGACAGGGGAGGTTCAGCAGGAGCCAGAAAAGGGAGAGACTGGGAGAGATCAAGGAAGCCTTCCCAGAGTAGGCGATGCCTGCCAGCTGGAGAAGGTCAAACAGCAAGAGCAGACTTTGGGACACCCGGGAGGCGGGTACCCCCAGGAAGGGCTAGGTGTCCAAGAGCGGTGAGCAGAGAGGAGGCTGTGGGAGTTGAGGGTGGGTAAGGACGCCAATCTCGATGCCGTGGTATGAATTTTTGATTCTATGAAGTGTAGGGACTGTTGGTTCAAACCTTTTTGTCAGCAAAGTCTAAGTGACCACTAGTTAGGGACCCTGGCTTTGATTCCTTGTCCTTGATCCTGTTTGTCCTTTCCTCTACAGATAAGACCCAGAGGGTGCAGGACAGGGACAGGGAAGGGGTATGGGTAGGGGGAGCTCTGGCCCCCAATACCTCCTCCCCATTCCCCCCTGAGCCTCCAGGGGCCTCAGGCAGCATTATCCCCGTCTACTGTGCCCTCCTGGCCACCGTGGTCCTTGGTCTGCTCGCCTACGTGGCCTTCAAGTGGTAGGTACTCCCGGGCACTGCCCTGTGGCACGCCCCTCCCCAGCTGGACTCGCAGCCAGCCCCCTGTCTTGTCAGCGTGGGCTGGAACAGGTTGGCGGGTCCCCCCTGCTCCCCACAGCTGGCGCTCACGTAAACAAAGACAGCAGCTGGCCAAAGCTCGGACCGCAGAGCTGGGGGCCCTCGACAGGGACCAGAGGCATGGGGACAGCATTGCCTTCCGGGACAATCCCAGCGGCCAGGAGCCCTGTGCCCCCAGCCAGGGTGAGCGTCCTTCCCCAATCTGAAGACTTTCAGACCCAGCTCTGCCACACCCCCCAGCCCATCTGACCCTTTGTGCCCCTCACGTCTCCCACCCCAGGGCCACATCCTGAACCTGGCTGCCGGCTCTACCTTCATCTCCCTCGGCAGCAGCAAGAGGAGGTGGAGCGGCTCCTGGAAGCGTCAGGCCAACCTGACGAGGGCTGGCAGGGCCTGGCAGGCCGCCTGGGCTACCAGGCTGACGCTGTGGAGATCATGGCCCGGGGCCAGAGGCCAGCCTCCGCCCTACTGCGGGACTGGGCTGTCAAGGAAGGCAGTGGTGCCACCCTCAGGGTGCTGGAGGACGCCCTGGCTTCACTGGGCCGTGACGATGTGGTCCGGGTTCTGGGCCCCCCAGCTGAGGGCTGCTCTGTGGTGTGAGAGAGGCCACCACAGCCCGGCCTCTCAGGGAACCTGCTTTGGTGCCTCCCCCCGTCCCGCACGCAAATACGCTTTCCCTTTCGTGAGCTTTCCAGCATCGGTGGCCTCCGCCTGCTCTGTTCAGAGGGAACACAGAAGATCCGGCCGCTGCTCACCTACCCTCGCCCTACCTTCCTCCAGGACAGGGACCAGGACGTGGGGGTACTGAGCAGCAAGGAGTGGCCCTGCCCTCCTCCTCCCCGCTCCACCTCTCCTTATTTAGCCTCAACTGGTTTTTCTACTTTCGTATCTCCTATTAAAGGCCACTTGGGACTACTGTGCCGCCTCTGACTCCTTGGGCCTGTGGGACAGTGGGGTGTCTGTGAGGCAGAGAGGGTCCCTGGGGTGCGGGAGGAGCGCGTGAGCCTAGGAGACGGGCCCGCTCCGGAGGCACGGCTGGCCTTCGCATCCTGCGTCCGCCATTCACTGGCTGCGCATGGGAGGGAGCTAGTTTGCCTCTCCGAACTTTAGCTTCCTTAGCTGGAGACCAGTAACAGGATGGCACATTCAGTAAGCTCCCCCCACCCCTTCCACTCTCAGACTGGCACTGAGGGGCTTTGGGATGGAGGCCGTTTTTGTGACTTCTGCTGTGACCAGCATCAAGGGGAGGCTGGAGGCAGACGTCCTGGGAAGCAGGTCAGCTCTAGATGAGAAAAAGGAAGAAAGACTCTCCTTACAAAGCCCGTTCTTACCAGTCTCAGGAGGGAGTTCCAGCCACGCTTCCATAGCTGCTTCTGTGACTTCCACACAAGCCAAGGGCAAGCGGGTCATCCCACCCACCCAAGGGGCAGCTGCGGGCAGAACAGCTGCCACCAAGCCACCTGCGCCCCCCCCCCCACGTATCTGCCCGCCCGAAGGAGAGGAAGGCAGGCTGGTTACTGCCTTCGGAAGCGGTTGCTACAGCAGACAGGCCCCCGCCTGGGAAGGAGCAACGGCCCCCATCCTGGCGCCCACAAGGGTCGGGGCCCCTGGAGCAACATGGCCACCCGAACTCCAGAGTCGTGGGATTCAGCGGTGGCCCAGGGAGGCCTCGGGTCGGTCCTGTCCTCTTGCTGACACGTGACTAGTATCGGCTGCTCTGGGAGGGCCAAACATCAGACTGCTGCTCCTCAGAAACCATCTCACGGGGCTGCTTAACCCTGGAAATCTTGTCCTTAAGGAAGGGCAGGTTTATGGCTCCCTCCATCCGGAGATGACCGTTGGGCCAAGACCCAGGAGAGGCTCAGCGTGCAGTCAGCTGAAATCAGCCCGGCACGCTTGGGAGCGAGCTTGCACCTCCGTGGGCGGGGAGCCGGCCCCAGGGCTCTCGAGCACTGGACTGGCCCCGAATGTGGAAGCCTGTGCCGAGTGGCACCCAACAGCTTCTGGATCGGCTGGCACCCCTCGTCACAACTAAGGGATCGGAGTTTGAAGGTGTCAAGGGGTGTGTGGAACGGGGAAAGTTTTCAAAAAAAACTCCATAGGGAGCTAAGAGAACAGAATCTCTTTTCAGAGGTGTCCTATCTGAAACTCTACAGCTCCCTGGTCACCACCCTTTAATGGAAGGCCACCTAAATTTCCTTGGAACATCTGAAACTGGAGCCTCAGGTCAAACTGTGAGTTTGACTTGGTTGCCAGCAGCAGAGCATGGGGCTGTACCCCTGCACCCCGAACCCACCCGAGAGCCACTCCCTTTTAATGTGCACATTAACTGAGATATATTCTCTGTTAATAACTCTCAAATGTTAAGAGGGTTGAATTAGAGTCCATCCATTTGATGTAATGTGCTTTAAATAGTTTTGAAGGCTGCAGTAGCATGGGAAAACACTTTGGCTACATTATTAAATAGCACGTCTAATGATTAGGACTTGAAAATAGGTGTTCTTATCCTCTTTTAACAATGAGGATATGAGTTCCTGAGCCTGAGGCAGAATTTCCTCATCTGAACAGTGCCAACTCGTGTCCCTAGGGTTGTAAGGATCAAACGCGCACAACCCGAGCTCCAAGTGCCTGGCCCAGCACCCAGCAGGCGAATGCTCTATCCACCATCCTCCCTGCCCAAGACTCAGTGGGCCGCGGCCCCTCCCCCAAGGGCATTGCTGCAGGGAGCAAAACAGCCCTGGTGAGGAAGACATGGGACCAGTCTCTTTGCAAAGACAGTTCCAGACTGGCTGGCAGCCTACAGTCCTCCTCACAGCCCAGACAACTTACCCTTCAAAGGGTGGTGGGGGAGGTGGGTCGGGCCACTGAGCCCTGCCTCCTCCAGGAGACGTCCAGTCTCATCACAGCCTATGCACTGTACCCCTTTATAGGGGTCCTCTAGTGTCCAAGCCCAGGGTCAGGCTGCATGGTGGGGGAGGTCGGGGAACCCACCCATCAAAAGAGCATTCCAGTGAGCTTGGGGAACTCAAGTTCTGGAGGGAAGAGGGTCAATGCCTTCCTCTCCACAGCCAGGAGGTATAAAGGGGAAGACTCGTGCCTTTCTCCTGCCTGACCTATGAACCAAAGTAAAGAAGCCCAGACCCTTTGAGGCCCTCAGGCCCACCTCTTTTGCTCTGGAATACATGTAGTACGAGTTGACTCCACCTTGAACGCAGGCATAAGATCTCAAGGCCACAAGTGTCAGTCCCAGTGGGACCTGTCGGGAACAAGGCCTGTGACTGAACTCCAAGCTCAAGGATTAACTCTGGACTTCACACATCTATGGCCACCATCTCTCCTTTCTCTCTCCAGTGACACCACTATATACAAATATGCTTGACTAACTTTTAGGGAACACACATTCCAAGTTCTTTAATCGATTTTATTTTTTACATAAAAAGTTCAGTAAAAATTGGATAAAGTAAAGTGATTTTAAGCAGTAAATCAATCTTATCAACATAGCACAAGGCTGGCCGAAACCACAAGGCAGCCTGCTTTGGAATATTTACATGATAACAAATTAAACCTTGCAGGAGAACTTAAAACCATCCTTACAAAGTCTTCCTGTGATCTAGCACGTAGAGGCTAAAAGCAAAACGAAAAACAAACAAAACCAGGAAAAAACAAAATTATTTTCAATATATTCACATATACATTAAAATATAATACAGATCGTCAGGGTGAGGGGTCATGGGTGGGGATGCGCATGGGTCTGTGCGCTGACAGCACCGCCAAGGAGGAGACCCAGGTTTGGGAGTGGGGCTAGGCCTGGCCAGGATCTTAGTGGGGTCCTTCCCTAAGCCCTTGCCTCTGATGGGCCTCCAACCACACCCCAACAGCTCAGGACCAGGGATCGCTTGTAGATGGAGCTCATTTTCGTGGCTTTCAGCTGAAATCTGCAGGTCTGAGCTCCCCATTCCCCAGGACGACGTGTCACCAGTAGCACAGCCCTGACAGAAGGGGGTGGGGGGCAGCGGGCCCGCAGGGTTTCTTCTCCCGAGTCTGTCCCACCTGCTCACCTGTCCTCCCACCCTGGCCCCACAAGTCACTCTAATTCAGTGTCCTCTTTGGGTTTGTAAACGGCCCCAAACTTCTGCATGTACTTCTTAATGTACTCCTTGGTTTTGTGTTTCACATTCTCATTGCACTCCAGATCCTCAGGGTTCTTACAGTACTTCAGCTCCTTATTCATCACGCCGTGAGTCAGCTGTCCAGGACACAGGAAGAGAGACCAGAGTGGGAAGGATTTCAGGGGGTAAGGCCAGCCTGGTGCCTCAGGGCCCTTCTCACCAAGACTGGGATTGAATAAAGAGAGAGGCTGGGGCAGGCTGGTGCTAGGATCAGCAGAAAGGGGAGGCTAAGCCCTGTGAGAGTCTGTGACAGGACCACCAACCCTACCCTCAAGGAGGATGCCCTCCCTTCCCTAACCTTCCCTCCCTCTTCCGGGGTCCCCAGCCCAGGCATCTGGCAAAGAAAACCCACTTTCTATGATGAAGGTACACGGTTTGCCCAGAACGTCGTCAGAACAGAGGGGATACCTTGCGAGCTAGGTGTTTGAAGTCTTCAGTTGTGGTGATTCTTCCCACTTTGCAGTCAGGTTTCCGGTAAGGGTTCAGGCACTGGACAATGAACTGGGACATCTGCAGGCAGGAGAAAGAGCACATGCTGCTCGAAAGTCCAGAGAGGGCAAGGGGTTGCCCTGAGGAAATAATGAGAAAGCCGGTCCTTCCCTTTCCGCCACTCAGGCTGGCTGGTTTGGACAGAAGAATGCTACTAGGCCAGTGGGATAGAAGAGAAAAGGATCCTAGGTCTGCCCCGAGGGAAAGAGCTGCCTTGGACGGATGAGCAAGCTGACTTAGAGCAGGAGGGGGAAACCCAGGCGCAGGACTCGACTGCTGATCTCATGGCAGCCCCCCGTTTCAGCTGACAAACCTCATGTCCTTGGCCTGAAGAGACTAGAGCCTTGGAAGCCACGCAGAGAGCGCGTTCCAGTGCTCCTAGGAGGCTCAGCAACCCCAGGATCACAGGCATTTTGTTATGGAAGGTCACTTAAATTCTATGTTACACGCCACTTGACCCACACGAAGGCATGGTATGCTAGCTGGTGGGAGAAGCCCCAGGGCGGGACCCTTTCCCATACACGACGTCCAGTGTCCTCCTGAGTAGTCTCTGCAATGTCTGTCCTACCGGTGGCTCTCAAAAGAGATCCCACACAGGGCCTCTGAAAGGATCTGTGGTGCTAAGATCCCAGGGTACAAAGGAAGCAAAGAGGCCAATGATCACCATCTTGTCAGGGAGCACCGAGAACGGGGTCTCCCCATCCCTGAAACTCCAGGCGGCTTCCAACATTCAGAAGACAAGGCAGGCACTGAACAAACAGCTGCGGGCTGGCTGAGACACCAAAAATCCCACGCGGCGAGAACAAGAAACTAAGTTCTAGCCCTGGAAAGGGCTTTTATTCAGTTTTTCTATGGTCTGGCCTCCATACTCTCTCACTTCAATCCACTGCCCCAAGTACAGTCAGGGAATTCCTTCTTCCCGGCTTCAAGCCCTGCAATGGC